GGCTCAAAAATTTCCTACTTTTCAGATGAAGTGAATTTTTCATTCATTTTTGGGAATTGCAAAGGGTTTCCCAGGAGTCTGGAGGAGAGTGGAGAGGCCCACAGAATCCAACGTTGCTTGTAGTCGAGTGTTTTGAAGTTTCCACATCAGCTGATGAATTTGGGGAGCCATTCACTCTACTGGTTGTTGCGTCCACTGGTTTTTTTTTCTGAACAGTTCCACATCAACGCAGGCTCTACCAGGACATTTTTTAGGACACTTCATGTTTCTTATGGCTTGACAAGCTTTATGGAGGATTGCTGATTTGCATTTTTCCAGCAGGACTTGGCACCTGCCCACACTGCAAGCTTACCAAAGCTGGTTCAATTTTGCCATGGCCTACTGTTGCTTGACTGGCCAACAAACTGGCCTGGACCTTTGAACCCATAATATCTATAGGTTATTGTCAAGAGGAAAAGGTGAGAGACACCAGACCCAACAATGCAGATGACCTGAAGGCCGCTATCAAAGCAACATGGGCTTCCATTACACCTCAGCAGTGCCATACTTCTCAGAAGCCTGACATTTGTGTTTAAAATATCCTTTTTTTTTTATTGATCTGTAATATTCAAATTTTCTGAGACACTGAGTTTTGGGTTTTCATTATCTGTAAGCCATAATCATCAAAATTACAAGAAATACAGGCTTGAAATATTTCACTCTATGTGTAATGAATCTATATAATATGAGTTTCACCTTCTGAAATTATTGACAAAAAATATTTTGATTATATTTATTTTATTTTGATTTGAATTTTTTGAGCTGTACCTGTAAACTGCGTTCTTGTATTGTTTGGACTGATGCCACCACAAACTTCTACTGTGCTTAGTTCTCACAAAAGGGCGTGTGGTCATAGGAAAGTGACATAGAAACGAAGTGTCCATGCTAAATTACTAGCAGTTGAATTATTATATTATATATTTGTTGCACTCAGAGCTATTTTGCTTAATGTTCTTCGGATCAGTAATATTTTTTTTATTATTATAATGCACAGGCTACCTGTAGAGTTGGCTTGACGTCATGGTAGTAATGAGTGCTATGTGTTTGCTCTGCTCCTTAGTGTGAATTCCTGAACAATGCGGCGCAGAGTCCCAGCACTTTCTCTCCAAGCTCACTTCGCGTGGCAGCGTGTGACCTCCAGCAGCTGATGGCTACTTTCAGCCATGTTTTCGAAACAGACTTGAAGACTTACTGCAGTAGAGAACCCCCAAGCTTCAGCACAGAGACCGACGTCTTCCAGAGAGTACACCAACTGCTGCTGGCCTTCATCACGGTACTTATATGCAGAAAATGGGTTCTGACGTGCAAAAATCTGTCTGACCTGTAAAAACAAGTCATACTCTTTCTCTTTTTTTCTCAGGAGTTAGAAATGCTAAAGGAAGTATCAGAAGCCTCTGTGTCTACGCAGGAGGAAGTAAACCGGCTACAAACGCGGCCTTGCTACCGGAGCCGAGGAGATGAGCTTACTTTACGTAAATGAATAATCTCTTTCACATGCACACTCACACATACTTAATTAAAGCGGACTTATTATGCTTCTCTTCTTCTGTCATCGTGTTACAATGTGGGATGTTGTTGTTAAATGAGACCAAAGTGTCAAGTAATGTAACGTAACATGTAAAAGCAATCAGTTAATCTTTCTATGTAGTTTATGTTTACCAGATGAAATGCATTATATTTAGATCCATGCAGTGTTATACATCCTTGCTAATTAGACCTTTTGGGTGTTAATAAGAACTTTGAATGGTGAATTATGCAGTGGGGTCTCACTAGCACAATAGGTAACCTAAGTAGGTAATATTTGTCTTTTGCTTTTCTTTCCAGAGGACCAACTGGAGGAACTTAGCAGGCGAATTAGAGACTTTTTCTCCCTGCTTCATTCCTGATGGGCACAGACACTGGCCAAAAAGTTCCTGATGTGAGCAAAGCTCTTAAAATGATGCAGTAATAATGGGAGGAGTGGTTGTATTAAAACTTTGAACAGAACTTATCTTTAATTTCACAAACGACAAGTGGCAGCCACTGTCCTTCAGACATTTCAGCACAGCTCATCTTTCTGTAAACTCATACTGTTTGATGGAGTCATCCTGTAATTCTAACTTCAGCATGACTGAGGTGTTGCTTGATCATTCGCATCAAAATGTTGGCAATGTGTTCCATGTAATTAACATGATTGCTCTACAGAAATGATCAGAAAGATTTCAGTGGATGGGTGTTTTGTTGGGATAATTGTATAGTCAGAATTGAACATTCTTCCTTTTCATTTCTCACCCCAACTTGTATGGTTGTTTTTGTTATTATTGATGTACTCGTACTACGAACGATTTTCATATTGTATTACTGAATAAATGTAAATGTTTTAAACCTGTACTGTTATACCAACAGGCTTTCTATTCTCTGGTGTCATTTATTCCTTTTTTCCTCTTTCATTCTGTGATAATCTTCTAGGGCTGTAATAATGGTTGACAAGTTGACGCTTTTGATATACATGAGCAATTGTTTTGAATAGTTTATCCAGAACAGCCTTGGACAAAAGATGACACAAAGCTGGTGTCCTGCACATGTACCAATATACCAATGAACAGTAAACTACAAAATGACATCTGCTGTAATGACCTCAGTCTCAGCCAACTCAGTGGTCTGAGGCCACAGCATGATGGTCACTCCTCATGGACTGTGGCAACTATACATGTGGACACTGTTTTCATACATCTTATAATATATTTATGCATATATTGCACATAGATCTTAGATATTTTATTAGTATTAACTTTTACTTTCATTCATTTTCCATTCTATAAATCTCTGCTGATATTTGCTACCTAACATATTTCCCTGCTTTCTATCAGAGTAATAACACAACAGGTAGTCAGCTATGCTTTCATATTTAATGTCACATTCTTTAAACACAAGTATGTACACTGATTAACACCCTATGAATCCACAACTTCAGCATCTCTGGTATCAAAAGAAAAAGTTCAAAAAGGTAGCAGTAGTGGCACGCTGTCCTTCCATATGGGTGGAAATGAGTTTGAAAGTACTGTAGGACAATGTTTCAAGGTGCGGACACACAGCTCCCTGCCACCCTGTCCACGATGCTGTGATAGTCCTGGTCTCCTCAGTCAGAAGCCTTTGCTGGCCAACCATTCCTTCAGCTCAATGTCGAAGTGACCTTTGACCCTCAGGGTCATGGTGACCTCGTTGACCTGTGTAGGGAGCTCTTTTCCCGTCAACTTCTCCAGGTACTGCTTCACGTCCTTCTCCAGAGCCCAAATGTCCCCCTCCACCTTTCGTACGAGAGTTGTCTTGCGGCTGCCGTGGGTCAGGTCGGTGTAAACCGGGATGTTGTGCATGCGGGAGCGGCGGATCATGTAGGGCAGAGGCGGCGGGGAGTCTGCCGGAGGGGTCCAGCCAGACGGGGTGACACCGGCGTGTTCAGGCGGAGCGGGGACCCGTGACGGTGGGATGAGCCGCTCTACGAACTTGTATTCCTCCGTAGACTCTAATATCTCCGCCTTTTTTTCCTCTGGAGCAGCCTGACAGAGAAACCGCAGGCGGACAGCGGCGGCAGGAGGTCCCGGTATCCGGCTGTGGACACTGAAGGCTGCTGGCAGCGCCCTGCGGAGCACAGCGAACTGAAGGGTGAAGCAAGCCGCCATGTTGTGCATTGGTGTAAGGAGAACCGACCCGGAAATAGACAAGAACTTCCGGTAGCATTAGGATTTTTAGTTCGATTTAAAAAACAGACATATAAGTAAATATGCAAACAAGTAAGAAGGATGAACGAAAAATATAGATAGATAAATATAAACATGCTGGGGGACGACATAAATAAATAGAAAGTGACTTAAGTGAAAACTTTAAATTGGGAATACAGTCTCACAGTTTTAACTCTTATTTGTTATTGGCTTAATGGTATAATGGAGTATAATCACCTGGAGATAAAAATGCTTCTGTGTTTGTTCCCTTAGAATGAGCTGTTTTTATCTAAAGACACTGTGGGTCCTTCCACCAAGCTGAGTCCAGACTTGAGAACCACTGCGTTCCCTTTCTTTCTTAAAAACATGAAAGTGACGTTTTAAAAGTTACTAAGTAATGTTAAAGTTTGCACAAAAAAAGGAGATTGATCAGAAAATACTCTAATATAGAGTTGATCCTTCAAAAAACACATTTTCCAGTAAAAGCTCAAAGTTGACTTATAATATTATCAGTTTATGGGCATGTATACATTTCCAGAACAGATGGATAACATCAGAAGGCACAGTCAAAGCTTAAATCAATATAATTCTTCAATTGAACAAAGACCTAAGACAGTTTTCTTATTGAAATGTTATGTCAAGTAACATTTTCTGATAGTGCCACACACAGAGGAGACAGCATTGTACATCTTTACATTATTCTAAAACTGAAACCTTAAAAACATTTTTATTTATTCCTGATATTATTTTTTAGAAGCGAAGGGATGTGTTGCAGTGTGACTAAAGCGCCTATCAACTAGTTTAACACAGTGGGAGGGAGTCTTTTTAATGTGTGCAGCTGGAGGAGTTGTCTGACTTGTTGGTCCTGTCTACTCCCTCGTTAAAGACTGAAGCTCAGCACATAGCCTACTGTACACAGCAGCAGCAGCAGGACAGTTGGAGTTATCAGAGGGCAGAATGGACAGGGAGAACAGGCTGAACGGAGAGGACATGGCTCTGAATAAAGTGGGCGACATAGAGGTTAGTGACACAGAAACCCTCTTCCTCTACTCTTCTGGTCTGTTCTGTTCGGTTCTTTTCTGTTCGTTTCTCATCTGCTCTCTTATCTATGCAAAAATCTTCATTGAGGGCCTTGAATAGATCAATAGGCAAAACATATTGCATTGTATTGTATGATCAGTATCCCAGTAGGGTTGGCGGCTGGACGGATATATCTGCGATTGGCCGGCTGTTTTTGTCATTTTCTAATTTAATGGTCTGCCTCCGAAGAACGAGAGCTCAGTGACAGACATAAGCTCCATAGTAACATCACACCCACTGAGTCAATGAATAACTAAGAGGAAAA